AGCAGTTTAAACTGTACTTAACAGAATAATATTCATGAATATGGTTTTTTAAAAGTTTTCTGACAACTCAAACCAAATCTCTGATTTTATTTGACACTTTCAAGGGCTCATTAAAATAATTTTGTATATATTTACTCAGATACACTTGAAAACGTTAGATGTTTATGGAGTTAAGGCTCGGTTTATGAACGCTTCAGTTTACGAACAATTCGAGTTACCAATAAAGTTTTCGGCAAAAGTTTCTTTCAGCTTATGAACACCGTTTCGTTTACGAACGTTTTTGATCGAAGTTGAGAAATTTTTTCAAAATGTTCGACTTAATGAACAGCATTCATCAAGTATTTCAGTCATTTTTGAGTTTCGACACAATGTCTTTCCTGATTTTCGTCACTAAAGTGGCGTTGTTCCACTTTAATGGGAGAAAACGAGAGTGAAGAATTCGTTTCGTTTAAAATGAATTCAGAGCTGGAAGTGGTGAACAAACATTTTTCATCAGAACGGTCCTGACGGAAAAACAAACCGGCAACTCACAACTAGGTTCTAGTGGGAAATTTTTAGAGATACTGAAGACTGTGAGACAATTTCCCAAAGCCTTGTTCTAGAGATTACCAAAGGAGATGACTCTGATTCCAATTAAAGATCCTCTTCCCGATTTTCTATTATATTTTGAACTGTAGAAAAAGTTTATTTTTTGAAGTTGTCCATATTTTACGCTATACCAGTTTACATCAATTAAAATTGAATCGGTTGGGACAAATTAATTTGTTCTTCAGTGCTTCAGTTTAAGAACTGTTCGATGCACGAACAAACCGTTGGAACGAGCTATGTTCGGAGCTTGCACAGCAAAAAGATGAGCAATTCATGCTTATTTACGGTTAAAAAAGAAAGTGAATGCTTTGTGCTAGTTCATGACTGTTCTCGAAATTACTGACCTACGACCAAACTCTCGGTCGGTATGTATAATTTAAATAACAAGTGTCTAGGAATGATGAGGCTATTTTATAGTATTGATCATTATTCATGAGGCGATTCAAGCAATGCGTTAGCATTCATCGTTCATGTTTTTTTTCTCCGTACAACGTTACTTGCAGTAGTGTTAATTGGAAATGTCCGCTCATTCAAGCACACTCTAGGTTTCGAATTAAAGAATTCAAACTCTTGATCATAGTTTCGTTCGGAGTTTTGTATGATATAATTGCAGTTAATCATGCAATAGGGCTGCGAGTATATTTTGATTTGCATTCTCGTTTATCTGCCATGCATTGCAGTATATTTGGCATTTATTTAATTTCATCACTGCGTAGAATGAACCACTATGGTGTAATTGTGTTCGTAATCAAATCTGTTTAAACAAATAAATGAAGCGATCTCCAGATGGTGTGGCTGTGGCACGATAATCACGTAACAAAACGAATTTAGCTGGCGTCTAAGATTCTGTTCAGTTGATAATGATATTGAACACAAATCTATACCAATTGCTGTTATTTTCAACTCATCGCTTCTCTTTCCAACGCTAAAATATATCTATCTCAGCGAGTAGTAGTTAATTTACTTTTCGTGTTTTGTGTCAAAAGCGCTTTCTAAACAACTTTGTAAACGTTTCGGGATAAATCATTTCGGAATTGCTGTCACTGGTGTCAATAGTAATAACAATCGTCAGAATAATAGCATCATAATAATTATTATTTATCAGTGTTACACTTATTATTAAATTATTAGCACTATTGTTAATATCTCCGTTATTAATATTCATCGCAACTACTCTCGTCATCACTTACTGTTTTCGAGGTCACCATTTTCAAGTGAATTTCGTATCATTGTCGTCATCAGGATTATTGTAACATCCTCATTTATTGTCGTTAGTAGATGGTCGTTGTTATCATGTTTTTGCATTTCAAAATCAGTTCAACTGCTTACTCATCATTCATGAATTCTTTCTTTTTTCGAATAATGCTGAGAATAAGTGGAAATCAAAGCTGAATTCGTTTGTTCGAAGATGATAACTAGAATCTTCCAGTAGTTACTTATTTCGTTAATTATTTCTTTATTTCATTAATTGATATACTATTAACGAAGAACATCATAATATTTCAAAATGAATTTTCAGTTGAATTTGAATTTCTGTACTGAACTGAGCAAGTCAATGTGTGAACGTAAAATATTTATTTATATGTATGTATGCTTGTATGTATGCCAACATGTCAATTAATCGACTAATTGGGCATTGAAAAGATTAATGTGGATCAATGCGACAACTAACTGTGAGTATATGCAGATTGAGAAGAGATGCACATCGGATAAAGTAATCGCATTGATAAGCGATGATAATGTCGAGTTAATAGAGCGACGAGTAGAGCAGCTCTTGGACACTTGGAATGCTGTATCAAATTTCGTTTCATACACCAGCAACTGCTTTCAACTTTCTCATACGATTTGTTCGTTCGTTAATGGCAGCGAATGAAGCACGCAAATGCTCAGTCATTTACTCAACAACTGCTCATCTTCTCGTGCATGAATATCGCTTCTGTTTCAGGTATTCATTTCTTTCATCTTTTGCTTTTCATCATCTGCTAGTCGCAGGTGCAATTATGAAGATTTCATTAGTAATGTAATTGTTTATAATTGTTATTATTCCAATACTTTCCATTGATATCGTTCATTAAACTTCCAAACGTAAACATCACATACAGAGTAGATATGATACAGAAAGCATTTTCGTTTATTTTCGCTACACGGATTTCGGTATTTTCAAAGATTTTAGCAGCTCTTTCGATCTCACGACAACAATAAATGTTCATTCAAACAAGCACGTGTCAATGCTTGAATCGACTATCAGAATGTTTCCAATCCATGTACAAAAATAGCAATACCTGTTGCGTTGATTACATTACACTCATCCTCACAGTATTATCGGGTTAACACCAATAGAAGTACTAATAATAATGGCCATCACAGAAATGGCATTGTGAATACGATTATAAGTAGGAATGTAATAACAAAAACTACTCAGCTTGCTGCGAACACAATACAGTAGTTCAAAAACGGTAACATACCTAAAGAAATTGTTACTTATGAATGGTATTATGAAATGGCTTATGAATTTTACTGAAGTTTATCAAATGAAGACATAAAATTCACTATTAACGTAAGCACGTTATGTTAACGGCAATAATTCGTTAGCCAGAGATAAAGTTGAATTTTTAAAATGAGATAACGGATATCAGCTCTAATTGTTCGTTAATTTCGGTTCATACCGATTGAACTAATGAACTATTCGACCGAGATTGATACAAGACAGAAGAGCTAACGTCGGTTCGTTTTTCATAAGAACAAAATTATTTAATTTATGCATTCTAAATGCAAAGTTGATAACAGTTTCTAAGTATGGAAACAACAACAGAAAATACGTCAACTGATCAAAAAATAACCGAAATTTTTGAAAGACTCGCGTTGAGTCTTGTCTGGAGGACTGAGTTTTCTTCAGTTGGTTCGGATGCAGTTAGCGATAAGCGCTCTACCCTGCAGATAGATGCATTGCTTATTTCGGGTTTAGTAAACAAATAAGCAATGCGTTTGGTGATTTTTTCGTGAAGCAAAATTTCGGGTCACAGAAATTGTTTCGAATTAAGAACGGAACTGATTGCAGTAAGATGTCCGAAAGATTTGAGAAATCGACGGTGTCGTTTTGCTTTTATAAGAATATTAGAGAGTAACCAAGCGTTATGAAGTTTGCCAAGGCGTCATCACGTCCAGATTAATTCTGTGCTTCTCATGACCGTTTTCTGCTAATATGCACGAATTTTTTATCGCTAAACTGTAAATTGAGTCGTACGGATAGTAAAAAGTGCTCTGAGGACTTTCAAAAATCATTAAAAGACAATCTGGAAAAAATCGTGATGACTGCAAAGCACTTCTCATGCATTTCGTATAACCATTGCACATAGCTCAATTTTCCAAGAACTGCACCTAAACCAAGGAGCGTCCTCCCGTTCTTGAAATATGTATCCCATCCCTATAACTCTTCTCTTTCCAAACACTCGAATGAAGACACAGTGAATGAAATCGCATTTATACATAAACGGCTGCCCTCCTGAACTCGGAAACTTTCGACATATGCGGACAGCAACACAAGGGATCTATGGACAGCATCATCATTGCACATTGAACGAACACTAGTCGATTACTTTTTGATGAGGCGGTATTTATCATTTTACATTTCAATAAAATGTTTAAAAATCTACATTCATTTAAGAAATGCTACGTTTAATCATAAGTGACAATTTTCCAGTTAGTTAAGCTTTCATGTCTTTTTTTACATATATATCAAAATTTTTTGCAATGAATATTTTCTCAAAATGGAAAATATTCAAACTAAATAAAAATTCCAAAATTGTAGTTGATCTTCTTATCAAAGAAAATATAACAACAAACTCTAGATATAAAAGCATACTGCATACGACATTATTTCCATGTTTAAAAAAGTTTTTGACGAATTAACGGGCCTAAAAAATTTCATCCATATCCGTTTCGTTAGCTTCTTCGAACAATCGTTACTAAAACAATGATGATAATATCTTCGATTAACGAAGTTGCGCTCACCTCTGGTCAGGTACACATATTAGGTTTTGCTGAACGAGCCCGAATTCATGTAGTACATTCATATCCTGTGCAAAAACATGAATATTTTATTGGTTGCTTAGAATTCAGTGCACTCCAAGTGACATATCACAGTTTACTGAATTGGTCTTTTATTGTCAATATCATCATCGTATTAATCAATGTGTTTTGGTACATCTACGTGCCCATATGATGACACGATAGGAATATAAGCATCCGTTAGTATCACGAACACATCATTCATGTGATCACATAAAATATTGATATGAGAACTGCTGTTATGACATGAAACTGGAAATGAAGTATTCACCAATGTAGCTGACTCATTGGATAATTACTGACTTTTTTAAGGATACGTGAGGACTAACCGTTGTTTTTCGTGTATGTCGCCAATATACGAAGAATTATTCAAAGACGGTTTTATGTCAAGGTAGGTTGAACCATTTTTTGAAGTGAATACTGTTTGCTGCATCTATCAAGCTTCACGTGATTTTCAAGAAACTGAGCCTTCCAGGTATTTTTTTGAGCCAAAGAATTTCACATCTCAATGTGATGAGCCGATGAGATCTCATAATGTGGGTCTCATACCATGTAGGTCAATTTGCTTGACACTCACTCAGGATTTCATTGTTATGGGTAAGTTTCATTACTTGTCATTTCTGAGTTATGATGATGTTGTATCAACATTTCGATTACGATTTCTGTTGAATGATCAAGCAATTTATTCATCTGATATTCACTTCAAGCAATGCTTTTATGAATATAACCATACTAGGCATCAATAAGGCTATAAAACAGCGGTTCTCAACTCGAAAATTTTAAGATGTCCTCGCACTCCTACAACAATAGTTAGAATGTCCTTGCACCCTTCACAACATCCGCTCCGTATCTTTCATTGTTTGTAGTGAAGGTAGGTGCATACCATCAGAGTGCGTGCTAGCCTTTTCAAAAATATATACGTTAAAGTTCTACTTTACACCTGTGAACTTTGTGCTTGCCTAATTTAATGTATACCTTATCTCACACCCTCCCTCGCACCCCTTCGGGGTGCGTGTACTCCGGTTGGGAAGCCCTGCTATAAAGCGGCATTGAATGAACAGTATAATGGTTGGAGTGCTCACTGATGCGAATTCATCATGAAATTGCTGATTCGTTTAATTTTTCACTGTCAAACGCTCAGGACGTAAAACGGGCAAGAAGTTGACAATTCGTGGATGCGCGACCTCAATCACTCGATTTGGGTTCTTCAACAGGACTATGGCACTTTTTGACAGGTGAGCTTGTGCTACTTTATCGTTCAGAAAGGGCGCATTGAAATATGTGACGATGTTGACCGTTGTATTATATATTGAACGAATTGAGTTATTTAAACTTTTAGAAGTTCGCTTTAAAAGTGAAAATTAATCCACTTATTCGGTTGTTTTAAAAACGACCGCATCGATCGAATAAGAATGTGGCCATCAATATACCGCCTCTGAATTTGCTCATTAAACACTTTCCATAAATATATTTCATACTAAACAGTTTTTTTCGGTATCTTATTCGGTTTATACTGATGACGGAGCAATTTCAAATTGTATCAGCGGATTTGATGTCAGTTCTACAGTTCCCATAGAGCAGCAGGTAAAGAGCAGAAAATAGAATAAATTGAAACAAGATAAGAGTGAGTTAATGAATCGTTTTAGAAGCAAAACTAGTAATCGTATGAAACTATACATAGGTATGATATTTGTCGTGATATGAAGGTAGCAGATTTATTTCGATACGAAACCGACTCACAAGCCGTGCGAGTATGCTCGTGTCTCGGTGATCGTTGCAATGCCAGCATTAGTTGTGCGCCGTTTGCCGACAGTTTGACAACTATGGTAGCTGTCTTCTTTTATGTCGTTTATTCATTGCGACTTTGATATTTATTGTTCGTGTTCTAGTGGTATATTGACTGCCACTCGGTGCATTCAACTCTTTCAATATTGTCTTCATTGTTCATTGTTCATTCGTTGTTGTATTTCAACTCACATGTACTGTGCTGTTTAGCTTCATGAGCTTTCGATTAGCAGCACTTCACTCCAAATTATCGTGTGTTTATGGTTCAGTAACCAAACCATCTCAGTGAGTTACTTTCAACGGCAACTATACAAGGATGTTGTCGTCGTAAGTTAGTACCTTTGCACTCTCTCTGACATGAATAATGCAAAAATTTATGCACTTGAAAGTTCCGAGTTGGATTTGATGATCTCTCTGTTCCATATTTTTGGCGAGCTGTTCTGTTCTATTTTATTCTGCCCTTGCAGTTGTTCCGTTTTGTTCTCTTGCATTTTTTTAAAAATTGCTCTATTTTGATGTTGCCACAGTCCCACCCCAAAATTTCGAAGTTCTTTTGTGCTATTCTACCGTTGTTCTGTTCCTTTACCTCTAATTGTAAGGCTGTTCTGTTTTATACTAGTACAACAGAACAATGCAACTGGAACAAGCACATCACTAGTTGAAATATCACATGAACAATGGTAAGAGAGATTGTGTCATAAATTATAATTGCTTTTTCAAACGTTACCATTTGCAGTTGTTCAATTCTTAGTTTATATGAAAACATCTTGTACAGTTCATTGATTCGTTGTTTTCAAGAAACGCTTAAATTTATAAATATGAAGTACTTTATAGGCAGACCGGTTGCATCCAGCAGTTGGTGACTTGCTGATGAAAAGTAATTGAGACCTGTAAAGCGCAGTTGTTTTGATGATTTTTAGAAATGATATAAACGGATTGGAATATTTCAAACTTTTTTTGGTGCGAATTTCAAAGAATGAATTTGGTGAAGGACGATGCAGTTTGTTTTCAATTAGTACAAGAAACGAATGTATTGGCTACAGATCTGAGAAGAGAATAGCAATGAGAAGAGTTTATGCATATTGGTTCACATTAAATCGATTCATCTTTGTGACGTTTCATCGATTCGTATTTTTATGTATTGTTTGTTTATAAAGTTCCATGATAAAACTTATACGATGTTTTGAAACTAGCGGTGTACCTGTTCCAGCCGAACTATTCTGTTTTTATTCTATTCTGCAGATTAGCTTCGAAATTTTGTGGTGCGGTAACAGAACAGAACCGCTTTAAAATGCGAGTGTAGTATAGAACAAAATGGAACAGCTGAACAAAGCAATACACATGTATAAGCTGAAACACACCTCTAAAAATACTCATCAAGTGCAACGTTTGAGAGGAATTGAATTGAATGTAACTATTTCAGAATTTATTTTCACAATAAACAATGGTTAATGGCTGATTCACTCAATGACTGATTCACTTAATATAATTCTGTTTTCTTGCAATACATTTTCAAACACAAACCGAGCAATGCATATCTGAATTATTTCTGAATTTGTGCTTCCAAGATGATGCTGTCAAAAACTTGCCGTGGAATGATTGAGTCCACAATAATCGGTATATGAAACATTGCACTCTCGATGCTTCAACTTTTTGGATTAGGATTTTCAGCATTTTTATCATGGTAGCAGTGATAACAAGGATAATCATAACAGTGTTAAACCAGTGCCAGTATATGTGTAATTAGCTATACAGAAATTGGATATTGAAGGAATACTGAAAAAAAAAAGGAATATCTTAGGAGAAGAGCTCAAATCACCATTAGTGGTATAATATCGAAACTATGATTTCATTAGGTGGTTGGATCGTCGCAGTTAATGACAAATAGCAAACGATTCGGCTGACTACTGTATTCATGCAAAGTGGTTCATCATCACAGACTTGATTTTGACGAATAAACATTCTCGTGCTCTGAACGCGTGCGTTCTCTCTCACATTACTAACAACTTGACATCAAAAAGTGCATTGTGGGATTCAAGGTTTTTGTGGGTGTTACGTGATTGAATAGATGCAAACACATGAATAGAACTCTGAATACAAATCATCGGAACCGTGCCGAATTCGGCAGCAATTAAACTTATCCAAATAGCCATTATTTGTATCGCGGCAAAGAAGCACGTTTGAAATTTGACAGCTTATTGGCGGCTGCAAGTATATTCTAACTGTTATTGAAAACGGTAGAAATTCAGCGCGAAGAGAAATTTAAATGCTAATTTAATACCGGTAAGTGCGCATTCTTCAACTAATATCTATCAGAATTACGAACGATTTCTCACTGGAATCGGCGATTGATGTTCGAAAATATTTCAAGTTTACTGAATGTACGAGTTCAACATTTCAAGATAGGGATATCCCAGATGGTTCATGTTTTAAGGATTTTGCCTGGATTCATCTCTCACAATTAATACTATTCTGTGGATTTATTGTAAGAATGAATCGGTGGATTGGGGAAGACTATTGTTTAATCGCAAAGGTTATATTTGTAAAAGGCAACAACTCCATTTGTGAGTTAATTATTGCTACTTATTAAATCCCATCTGGTGCATATTTAATTTCAGGAACAGTCTTATGCTCTTAGATCATAGTGTGTATTTGTGAACACTATAACTGTACAGTAACAACTATGTGTTATGCAGCTCTTCCAGATTCAATCCTCGTGCGAATGCAGTATTACTCTGAGTGCTGTTTTTTTCTTTGCACAACTGATTACAATGCAATTGATGGTGCTGTCTTCAATGAGGCATCATTTCACATCACATTATTTAATATATTCACAAAGAAAAATGAGCAAAAATTTTTTTCGTTGAATGCAATAATATACGATGAGCCATGAGTTAAGACGTGTCAGTCACCATGCTTTGCCGAAAACTTGTTGTACTGTATGCATTTCATTATACAATAACTGTCTTATTATAAAATGTGTCAAACATTCATTACTATTCTTATTCTGACTATTGCTGTCACTACGGTTGTTTTTTATCACTGTTGTGTTCCTCGATTATTGTGAATAATTGTGATATTCATTCACGTTAGCTAAAATTAAATACTATCGTACTACTTAATTTGTGAATTTTTACTGACTCAGAAGTGAGTCAGTAAAATGTAATAAGGTAGACTTTTATAGGAGAGCACCAGAACATCGTGCACACAGACGTCAGGCTTTCGTGAAGTTCGAGATAGAGCAACGAGCTCGAGTCAAACCTACATTGACTGAGACGTAAAGCAAAAACTTTTGTGATCAATTGCTGAATGTTGAACTATTCGAGCTTTGAACGCTAGTGAGATGAATAGATTATTCATTTATTTCATTCGTTCGGATTTGGTGTTCTTCGTTTCATCATTGTGTCTTACTTTCTTGCTGCACTCATTCGGAGATTTTTTTTATTACTAAATTCCATACTCTGATTCATTGATTGCGAAGAAGAAATTTCTTACACGCCTTCGTCATCTGTGCGCAAATTGATTATGCGCATGATAAGCACACCTGAGCTGCTGCAGTGTGCGATTTATTGTTGCATGTCTGTTATTGCACAAAACGATGTATTTATTAACTTTTATTTGCTATTTGAACTTATGCCATCTGTTTGTTTCTCATTTATGCCATTTGATTAAAACAGTAGCAATTCTTAGCTGCACTGCTCCTTGAAAAGTTGAGGTGAACGAAGAAAAAAAGAGTAAAGCGGCAATAACCAAAGCGAAATATTGCGTTGNAAACATTCAGGCTTAGGCTCAGGCTAAGGCTCATATCGGAGAACCATGCACTTGTTTCATGGATATTTTACGCTGGTACGAACCTCAGCCTAAGTCTACGACGCCCCAAACATCGCGATATCACACTCTGATTATTGCTATTTAGAGAAGCACGGCATGTGGTTGTTCATTGGTATATGCATGGAATGAGTGGCTTTCTAGGATAAGATATGAATGTTTGCAGTGGAACTGAAATAAAGGAGATAAATAATGTCATCGATCTTGAATAGTTCTCCAATTTTGAAGTCTATGTGATGTTCAGTTAGAATCCCAACTAATTAAACTGCTGCAATAGATCACGAAACAATCGCTAAATTCTCCATCATCTATTATGCCTTTTCGTCGAGGTTAATAATTTTACACTTTCAGTTAATCATCATCATCAAACGTTTAGATACTTTTTCAAAAATCATTTTCATCAAATCGTACTTATGGACATTAATGAATGCTACACACCAGTAAAAACACTTACTAATTTCCAAATGATTTTTTAAATCATATGAGAACGGGACGTACTTGATCGATAGCTTGACTGAGAAGAAACAAAAATATTTTGTTATGTTCAGTGGCTTAGCCAGGATCGTTTCAAGGGTAGAGGGATGGCATATAATGGTATAGTCCAGGAAAACAGCTGAATTTTTAAGTGGATTTTTCTACGCTTATTTTTCTTCCTTTTCTTTTTCCAACTTTTCTTTTCCCATTCTTTTTCCCACTTTCTTCTCTTTTCGTCTTTTTTGTCCGCTTTCTTATAACTTCAGGAGAAGGAGGGAGAGGCGCCTCCCTCCCTCACTAATTATGTTGTTTTCGCGATCGTTGTGCACTTACATCAAATAGATACGGTAAGCAACAAGGTAAACCTAGCCCCAGAAATAAAATTTTTTCGAAACAGGTTAATCAGACAAGTGGTAGAGTTTGAATTGGTGTTAATCAGTTGGAATGGACTTAATAAACTGAGCTAAATTTGAGTTAAAGTTAACTCATATCATGACTGAGTTAAAAATTATTCGCATAACTTATCTTCAGCGTTCAGTTAGGCTTATAGCACGTTCTGTTGTGCATGCCGACTGAGAAATTGAAATGGACTGAATTATTTTTGCCGATACCGCAACCGTTTAAACATCACCATCGCATTGGTGTCTTACACCGAGACTGACACAGTAGCAGTGGTCTATGTTTTTGCTGTTTAATGCCTTCAGTTTTACCTTATCATCATCTACGCTTTTGGGCTGACGATGCGTACTGGATTATGCGCTTACTCAAAACATAAACTCGA